TGTTAACTACACAGTTTTACTCTGCAGCTCCATGTTAACTGTACACAGTTTTATACTGCGGCTCCATGTTAACTGAATACAGTTTTATACTATGGCTCCATGGTAACTACACAGTTTTAATGAGGAAACCAAGTAGAGTTAACACTCACATCAGTTAGTTTTCAGCATTTCGCCATGAGGAAGAATCCACGTGATGTCATGTCAGAGTACATTTGACTTTGCATGCTTTTTTATTTTGATAACTGAAATGGTTATCATGTATAGTATTTTGGAGGGCCTACATGTTTCTCTAAATCTGAGCTGATTGATTTAGCAACATTTACATTTTGCTGTTAGTATAGCTACAGTTATAGCCATAGCCATGGTCACACATTAGTATACAGTCTATAACTTATAGACACACAGTTCATATTTATGAACCATGTCCCTCAGTGTGATGAAGAAGACAAAGGAGAAAGAAAGTGTACTTACAAAGTCAAAGTCTCCATCTTGAGGGACTCTCCAGTCATCAGGAAAAACACTTTGTGACATGGGGCGGGACTCACGCACGCTCTGATTACAGTTTTCGTGGCTCTTGTTCTGGAAGCCCTGCTTATCAAAGTAGTCCATGAAAGACGGTCTCTGTCCTTCGGGTGACGTGGCATTTCCTTAGGCAAACAGACACAGAAGGGGGTGTCAGCCTGACACTTAAACAAGTATGGCAATAATAAAGGGGGTTACTTTCAGTGAGCCATAGTAAAACAAGGTCAGTTCATAGAAGGGAGAAGAAAGACAAAGAACCCAGGTCAAAGAAACACGAGACAGATACGTACAGAGCCCAAATGCTCTTGACTATAGAAACACTTCTTTACTTTAATGGAATCTTTATCGTAATTCTATTAACAATAGTACCAGTGTCTAGTACATTTTAAACATTCCTGTTCTTTTATGTTTATGTTTGCTCTCATTATAATGGCAGGCTTTAGGCTGCTCAGAAATTGGAGGGACTGATGAAGTTTTCCCTTCATCTAAGTCTTCTAGCTGGTTCCCCTGATCCTGGGTCTCTGAAGGCTTTGCCAGTCTTATTTATATCTTGGTCTCCTTAAGCCATTTCTTCAGCTCAAACTGTCTTAAGCTCTATTTACAAGTTTACAGCTGCTTGTTATTACACCACTTAGTGCCCATGTATCTGAATTAGCAGTTAACTTCTGAGGCGAAATGCAAGACTCTTCCCACCAAACCTGCGGCTCTTCCCCTCACGCCATCTCCGCCAAGGCCAGTATTATCCACTCAATCCTCAGAGCAAGGAGGCTGAGACTGAATTCAGATTCTCCTCTCTCCAAAGCTGATCCAAAAGTGCAGTAAACAGAAGTGTTTCAATTTCTAAGCATTTTTTTGCCTACGCTCTAAGAAAGGGGACCAAGGGCACAGTGGCCTCCAAATGTCGTGGTTTCTGGAAACCCCATGCTGACTGCACTGTCAACTCAGTGACTTTCAAAATACAAACAAACATGTCATTCTACAACTCGGAATCTTTTGATGGCTTATTTTTTATATTGGACAATTATAGTATAAAATAAACATTTGGAATAACTAATTTTTTTTTTTAAATCTTGTGGTTAAGGTCTTGATCAGAAGTTTCCAAATTGGATTCCTTAAAGTCCCAGGGCTTCAAAAACTGTCCCTGAGACCACCAAGAAGGCATTCTCATCTAACCCTGCAGCTAGAAAGTGAGCTACCTCCCTTTAAAGGACTTCCTGGGGAGGGGTCCAAGAGGCTCAACTCATCCTGTCACTGTGCTCACCCTCCAAGTAAGTTCCTTTCACAAACTTGTCACTGAGACCTCAGAAGACAGGCGCCTGCTCCATCTTTGCTGTTTGTCTTTCTGAGATGAAAACTCAGCCCCAGTTCTATTCCTCAGACTCATCACCATCCTGGTGACTTTCCTATGGGGACACAGCAGATTTGCAATGCTGTGAATTAAGACAACAGTCTTAACGGTGACCTGGCCGGTTTAGAATGCACTTGCAACAGTACACGCAGCTTCACGCTGGCAGCTAAGGAGCACTGCTGGCCGAAGATGGGATATGGAACCGTTTTCAACAAAAGAATGCAATGCTAAAGGGTCCACTGTCAGTCTCCAACAGAGGATGAATCAGAGCCTACTTTCTGTCATAAATTCAAGAGTCAGGAATTTTTAACTTAAAAAAAAAAAGAGTAACTATGTCCAACTCCAATGTGATAGCTTTTGTTTTATCTTACTATATTTTATTTTGTTATGTTTTATTATTAACCCTTAGAAGCCCGTTTGTTTTCTAATGAGAGATAGAAAATGTATGTATCTGAATGGGAGGAGAGGAACTGGGAGGAGGAGAGGGGGGGAAAACCATAACTAGGATACATTATGTAAAAAAAAAATCTACTTTCAATAAAAAGGGGGGGAAAGAGTAGGGTTAGAGAGACTGAACTATCATGCAAGCATCCGTCTTCTCCTTCCTGTGCCCACCTCATCAGTCCTCGTCTGTATTTATTCGGCACGTTTGGGCTGCAGTAAGTTTGCTCAGGTTAGAATGTGAAACAGGAGTACCTGCATGGATTTGTCTAAAATGTCTCATTCCTGTAAAACGATTTTCCTCCTAACACTGCACACTGTTTACTGGTTTCATACTGGTTAGGTAGCTTATTTTAAATGGCAAACCACATATAACATAAAATTTACACTTCACTCCTGTTATGTATCTAAAACACTAGAAGCAGGGTCACACAGACATATTTGTACATCCATATTCAGCTATGTTCACCGCCTAAGTTGCATTTTAGACAGATGTTGACTCCATAAGAGTTATTGGAAAACATTAATCTTTTGTGAAAAGAAAATAGTCTTCAAAACTAAAAGCAGGATTACTTCAGTTGGAATTTCCTTTCATGGGAGACTGGAGGAAGGGCCAAGTTAAAGCCAGCCCTTCCTTCTGTACTAAGTCAGAGAGCTACAGTGCAATCAAATATAAGCCATGGCAAAAGCAAGGGTAAGGGCAGATCCATCCCCAGGGCTGGATAACCAGGAGGGGAGGGACTCCTCAGGACTGCCTCCAGCCACACAGCCACCATCCCTGTAAGGGCTCCCATTCTAGTCTCAGCCCTCCTCCCTGCCAGGATGAGACCTCTTCCGGCAGAGTGGCCGGGTGACACAATTCTGACATGAGATTAAAAAGTAGACAAGTCAAGCTGGTGTCTGCATGGAGCCTTCAGCCCTGCGGTCTGGTCTCTTTGGTCTGGGAAGGTACCCTGCAGGCTAAGGAAAGAGAAACCTGGACACCAACCAACCCAGCCACAAAACCCTCCACCTGCCCTGCCTGCTGGATGTGCTGGGACAAAGGTGGCATAGA